AGAGAGAGGATCCCAAGCAGGCTCTGTGCTGTCAGCGGTCAGCCTGATGTGGGGCTTGAACTCTCATGCACCGGGAGATCATGACCTGAGCCGAAACCAAGCGTAGGATGCTTAACCAACTGAGCCCCCTAGGCGCCCCACGCATGTCACTCTTCACACTAATAACTGTGCTCTGTGTGCGCACTGATGCCCGTGTGTGGCATCCGTTCTCACCTTACAGCTCCGGGCTGTTTCCCTAAGCCCCACAGTCCTCTGCCCTGTTTTCCTCTCCTGGTATCTTTTTCCTCCAACCCTTTGTTTCCTGGCTGTGGGTCTGAGGGTGACTGTTGGGGTTCGCTGGGGATCTCGAATGGAGGGGGGTGGGCGAGACAGCCGGCATCAGAAGGGGCTACAGCACTGAGAGTTCAGAAGGTCTCTCGCATTTATGTGTTTCACACGTGTGAACAGTGCTTTATGGGCGCCTGCTCTGGGCGCCTAGGGCAGGGGGTCCCAGACTTTGTGGGGCACCAGACACCCCTGAGAAGCTTGTTGCAAATGCAGAGACCTGGCATCTCCTCAGAGCTTGCGGTTGGTTGGCAGAGGGGCTGAGGATCTACACTGTAACAGAGGAATTAAGAGACAGGAGGGTAGTGAGCAAAGGGGAGAGCCATACGAGATGGAGTCGGAGGCCAGATTGTGCAAGATCGTGAGCTCGCGCTCCCAAATTGAGAGTTGAGGAAGCGCCACGTGCACCAGTGGTCTGGCATGACCTTGACAATACGTAGTGCTGGATACACAGTAGTAAGATGCTTGGTCATTTTCCAAAGACTCTGCTTTGTGGGGGGTGGGGGGGCATCTGGGTGGCTCAGAAGGTTAAGCGTCCGGCTCTTGATCTGCTCAGGTCGTGATCTCACGGTCCTGGGATCCAGCCCCGTGTCGGGCTTTGCACTGAGCATGGAGCCCGCTTGGGATTCTCTCTCTCCCTGTCTCTCTGCCCCTCCCCCACTCACTCTCGCACACGCGTGAGCTCTCTCCCTCTCTCCCTCTCTCAAAAAATAAATAAACATCTAAAAAACATAAAGACTCTGTTTTTCATCCCTCCCAACTCCTTTACCAACGTGGCTTCAGGGTCCCTTCCTGTCTCTGCATTTCTGTTTCTCCATCAGTATATAATGATAGTGCTGGATGAAATGATCCCCAAATTGCCTTCTCAGACCAGATAGTTCATTCGGCTGTAGGTTGGGGCAACCACATACACTGGGTTTCCTGGGACAGTTCCAGTTTGTGCCACTTGTCCCGGCTTCATTATTCATGACACCCTCTTGTGCTCTCAAAAGTGTCCCAGTTTGGACATTAAATTATAAGGGCATTCTATTTATGGGAAAAGGGAGGTGCGTGTGACATGACTGTCAGCCATGGGCTAGGCTCTCTGCCTTCATTCTTATCAGGAATTTTTTCTCAGAGCAAGGATGGTTTTGCAGACTTTCCAGAATGCCCAGGTAAGCTTCGAAGGAGGGCCTACGGGCCAGTGCACTGCCCGTGGCTTGGATGGGGTATGGCTGATGGGGAGAGATGGCAACTGGTAACATTGGGGAAATGGCAGCAGATCTCTATGAAGCAAGCCTATTTCTGTGGCTACATGAGGAACGTGCACTGTCACATCCTCACAGTTGTGGACCCCAAAGCGAGAAGACTGTGATTGCCACACGGCTCTGGAGCCCCTCCCCCTCCTCCTAAGAAGTGAGCTGTAGATGTGAGTCAGCCTGCAGGTAGGCAAGGGGGCAGGGATCTGGAGGATTCTGTGACTGTTTTGCTACCTGGGGTCACCCAGGGAAGGGCACCTGGGGTCACCCAGGGAAGGGCCGTGGCGGAAGTTGCGGGGAAGAGAGGTAGAATAGTCATCGTTCTGGTTTAAACGGAGCAGATTCTAGGTGGTAATTGATCCCAGACTTTCTCTCTGAGATCTGGTCCTTTTGTATGTGGGTGAACATAAGGAGACACAGCTGGGAAAAGCCCCCTTTTTCACGTGAAGAAAAAATTTCTCAAAATTAAAATTCTGTAAAATCCTAGGAGGCACCCCAGGGGTTTCCAAAGTGAGTTTCTTGACATTTCAATGGCTGTACTTCAAGTGGGGGAGAGGAGGCAGAGGAGAAAGAGCTCAAGGAATGGGGGCTTGCTTTCTTTTCTCCTTGTTGGGGTTTTGTGTTTTGTTTTGTTTTGACTTGATTCTAAGATTCTGGTGTGTGGGAATAATCTCACTGAAGAGGAAAATGAGTAACACTTGGTCAGTTTGTTTACCGTACGAACACGCTCACACACACTCATTTGCAGAGCGTTTATGATGGTGGCAGGGATTCAAAAACAGATAACGACGCTAAACGGTGACCACCCTCCCTCTCCCACGCGGAAGCTGTAGGTGAAGTGGGAGAGAGACAGGTAAACAGATGAGTTACTGTGCCTTCTGATGAGCGCAGGGCTCTCCAAATGACCTGCTCCAGATCGTTTCCTCGGAAGATTTGTTCCCAGGACACCCCTCCCCCGCCTTTTATTGGTATTTGCATAAGTGCTGACTTATTGTTTATTGAGATGAAATTCACATAACAGAAAACGAACCCTTTTAAAGTGAACAATTCAGTGGCAGTTCGTACCTTCCCAATACACCACCACCTCTGTCTAGTTCCAAAATATTTCATCTCCCCAAAATAAAACCCCGTACCCACGAAGCAGTCATTCCCCACTCTCGCCTCCCCCCAGCCCCTGGCTAACATGTCTCTATCGATTTACCTGTTCTGGGTATTTCATGTAAGTGAAATCATGTTACCTTCTGTGTCTGGCTTCTTTGACTTAGCATAATATTTTTGAGATTTATCCACACTGTGGCAGGTGTCTCATCCCATTCCTTTTCCTGGCTGGATAATATTCTGTTATATGGACGTACCACCATTTGTTTATCCATTCATCTGTTGTTGGACATCTGGGTTGTTTCCACCTTCTGGCTATTGTGAACAGCGCTTCTGTGAACCTTTGTGTGCAACCTTTTGTTTGAGTTTTCTGTTTTCAATTCTTTGCCTATATACCCCGGAGCGTAAGTGCTCAGTCATATGGTAATTCTGTGTTTAAGTTTTTGAACACAGTGGCTGAACTATGACAGCCCCTCCGCCCCTCCATAACTTTTAGCCAAAGGACTTCAAAGAACTAAATCCTGATTTACAAATACGCCAAGCAGCCTAGGTTCCTTGGTTGGTCCAGTGGGTCAGGATTCCGGCTAACGAGACTAAGGTCAGGGGTTCAATCCCCAGATGACCAGTTAGCTCAGGAGAGTCAACAGTGAAAAATTATCTCTGCTGCCACATGTTCCACCAATACTGTCTTGCCCTCTTACAAAAGCTTGTTAGTGGCCCCAGGGGGATGAAGCTAGAGTGGGTTTTTATGGTTCCATAAAAATCTAGCATCCAAGGCACAGTGGGACTAATTGGAAAGCAGATGACTGCTTACTTCCCCTCTTGGTTTCACCGGATTTCTGTGGGCCCTTTGGGTAAATCGCTTCACCCCCACCCAGAGCCTCAGTTTCCTCATCGCTAAAATAGAATTCATAATCCTTACTCCAAAGAGATGATAAGCCAGCTAAGCACTTTGCATATCGTAGGCTTCCTGCCTAATAAACGCTGATAAATCTCCAGGGTGGGGAACTTCAGTCTGTCCAGGAACATCAGCTTCTGCAGTCGGCCCTGAGCTACTCTCCGGAGGCTGACCGAGCTGGGATGGCCGTGCACTATTGTCCTCGGGGTTACATTGGCTGTTCTAAATTGCCCTATTTGCATGGAATGAAGCTTGCTATGGTAACAAGGTCTGGTGGCTGGAATCCAGGGCCCCAGTGAAAAATGCAAAGCCTGTGCTCTGGGAGAGAGAGGAGCTAGATGGGTTTATCAACTTTAAGGTTACCTCAGTGCTCCTTTGAAGGGGTAGTAGGTAAACTGAGACAGCAGGGCCTCAACGCTCACACTGCTCCAGTAGGAGGAGAAAGAGGGAAGCCCCTTTGATGCCTTCCAGTCTTCTCTCCTGGCCTCTTCCCTCTCGCCCCCCAATATTTAGCCCAGCTAAGAAGCTTAGTACCTGGCTGAGGCCAGCCCTCCACCTCGGGTGTACGCACGGGGGTGGGGGCGGGGGCCTGCGAGGAGGCCCGAGCTCCAGTGGCCCACCCAGGGCCCGGACGGGGCGGGGGGGGGGGGCTCCCTTTCAGGAGGGCACACAGGTGGAGGTTGGTGCGGAGGTGGGGGTGGTCGGGCTGGAGTGGGGTGGAGGGTGAGAGGCGCTCCGGGCACCAGCTCAGCTCCCCACTGCACATTTCTTACCCGCATTTTAAGGGAAGCAAAGCTCCACTCCCGGCATCGCGCAAGCCGCCCCCTTCCGCGGAGCTTCGTCCCCGCTCCCGGACTCCTTCCCCGAGCACCCCTCTCGAACGCCACCTCCCCAACCCGGGCCGGCGCGGGGCGCTCGTTCAACCGGGGCGGGGCTGCCCACCGCTCGGGAGGACAGCGCCGGCCTTGGAGCAGGCGCCCCCTACCCCTCGCCAGGGGCGCCACCTCGGCCCACTGGCGGCCGCCGCCGCCCCCCGCCCCCCCCGATGTCCCCAGAAGTGGGGGGCGGGGCCAGTGCGTCCGGTCCCCAGGCGGGCAGCCCCTCCCAACGCACCCGGCGAATGGTGAGGCTCCAGTGAAGGATACCGGGCGGCGCGTCCTTCCCCGAGCCGCGCTCGGCGCCAGTCTCGGCAGTCGCTGCTCCTCCTCCTCCTTCTCCTCCTCTTCTCCTCCTCCCCCGCCGCCTCGCTACCCGCCGCAGCTCCGGTTGAGCGCCGCTGTCATTCCTGCGGAGGAGCCAGCGCTGCCGAACCAGGGGGTCGGGGCGCGGGGAGCCGGGCCGCGGGGACCCAACAGGTAGAGCCGGGGTGCCCGGCTCACTGCCCGCCCCCCGCGCGTCATGCAGCCTCTTGTCACCTCTCGCCCCAGGCCAAAATCCTGAGCATGATGGAAGACAATAAGCAGCTCGCGCTCCCGCATCGATGGGGAGTCCCGGTCGGTAGCCAGGAGGCGACCAACCTGCAGGCCACGGCCACCAACCGGAGACTGGCGGAACTGAGCAGCGGCGGCAGCGGCTGGCCCGGGCCAGGAGCAGCTGACCAACGCCTCGGCAGCGGCGGCGGCGGCGGCGGCGGCGGACTCGGCGCGGCGGCGAACGCTGTGGAGGGTCCCCGGCGGCGCGCAAGGTAGGGATCGCCCGGCGCCCGGGGGGGCGCAGAGGCAACCGAGCAGCACCAGGTCGGAGCAGCCGGGACTCGGCCTCCCGCGCCCCAGCCCGAAATCGCCTGCATTATGGCTCACGTAACCCTTTCCGCCCGGCGGTGGCCACCGCTAACTCCCCTGGGGTTGCAGGCTGCTGTCATTAAGGAAAGCCAGACGCAGTGTGCTGGTTCCCGCGTCCACCACGGGCCCCGGCTATGGCAGGAGCGAGGCACAGCCGGCGGGGCCCCTCCCGCCAGTGCCCCAGCCAGGCGCACAGCCCCAGCTCCGTGGAGCCGGCGTGCCCGGGCCTTCCCACCCCCGACGGGGGGTGGATGCCACAGCTCCCCCACCCCCACCCCCACTCCCCCCGGTGCTGGCGGCTCCTTCCTTTAGACTCTTACCGCCCCGCCCCCCCTCGAGGCGAGCTCCGGGCTGTGCTGCCGTGGTTGGGGTAGAGGATTGGACTGGTTTGCACTTTTCTCCACGGATGCCAAATCCCTTGTCTCCATTGCATCTGGACTTTATTTTCTTCCCATTTGAGATCGCGCAGACAGCGGAATATATCGATGCAACAGTAGATGCTTTGCTCGGCAGTGAGTTTAAATTTCCAGCAAATATAAACACCGAGAGCACTTTCCAGGGGGAAATCTTAGACCTCAAAGGTTGAGTGATGGGCTCCTGGCGAAACGAAGGCTTAGATGGTGGGTTGCAGGGAGCCCGCTGCTCGAAGGGACTCTTTGCACTTTACAGGAGGGGGTGGGGAGGAAGACAGCTGGACCGTGTTGACATTGACAGTGATAAAGCCCTGAAATCCCCCTGCCAGGGTTAAAGGTGGAGGAAGCATCCAAAAATGTACTGTTTGGTTTCTGCCAATTGAAAAGTAAAAGGGTAGACTGGCTTTTCAGTCTTTTTTTGTGTGTATTTTTGTGTATGTGTGTTTTGTTTTGTTTTGCCTGACTGTCCTTTAAGACATGGTTTCACTGATTATTAATATCATTCAAATTATAAACTAAACTGCTGAAATCCAGAATTCGACAGAAAAAAAAATATATAGGAGGGCCACTTGTATAAATATGTCACTTGATGAAGTATGAGGTACCAACAGCTCAGTGGCTCAGAGGGATTTTTTCCTGGTTTTGTTGTTATTTCAAGAGCTTCTCCTAAGTGTTGGGAGAGTCTGTGTTCCTATGAATGCCTTCTCCCCCTCAGTTTCTATTTGCTCCTCTCCTTCCTGGAGAAGGTGTGCTTTTTCTGGTGGGAGATGTTAAGCCTATGTGTTCGTTTTATGCAGAATTCCAAGTCAGATGTCAACTTGGTACTCCAGGAGTCTGTCAGAAGTGTTAGGAATTGGGGCGGTAATTTGGTCTGACGTAGCCATGACATAATGGTGGGAAGGTGTCGTGAGGCTGTTCTTTGCTGCACAGTTGTTTTCAAGGTGGGTATCTTCTTATCCTGTCATTTATCCCCTGCTCTGTCATTGTGTGTGGAAGAGGCTGTCCGCTGGCATCTGGGAGAAAAAGAAAAAGGAAGGCAGACTGCGTGGTGATGCTTTACTCCTTACAGGCAGAGACCCTTCCAACATTAAAGAAATAGCTAAGAGCTGGCCCTTCTTCTGCGAAGAATCAGAAACCGTGGTAAGGAGGATGGAACAACGCTAGTTTATTTCCCGCCGTCCACCCCCCTTTCCTCAGCCAAGGAAAAGTTAAGTGGCTTTCATTTGAGTCGTGGGTGCAGTTGCAGACTGAGTGTGCTAAGGAGGTCAGTACAGCAGTGATCCACACGCTCAACTTGGAAATGAAGCTGCTTAGCCGATGGGTAAATTGTAGTGGGAGCAGCGGGCTGTTTCCTTCTTTTTTCCTACAAACCTGCACAAGGCTGTGGAAGTGACTTTTGGATCTCTGGATGTCCCTAAAAACACACAAAACCAGCGTCTCCCTCATACTTATAGGAGCGTGCCTGTCGGTGTCAGTAGCCGCCGGGGGTGATTGGATGGAGGATGGTCTCGATTTTTCTTCTGTGTGTCCCTGATAGTTTTCAACACCTTCACTAGGGGGAATTGAGTGATTTTATAATCAGAGAATAAAACGTTAAAGGTTTCAACTCAACGTAATTGCTGGCCACATGTCCCTCTTGAATGGAGGTGACTGACAACCAATGGGATGGTTGAAAAGAAAGAAAACCAAGAGGGCATCACTTGCTTATCTCTACAGGAATACCTCGATCCTGTACATTTTACATTAGGTAGCCTTTGTGAGCTTTTTAGATTTTGTTTTTCTTTTCTTTTGTTTTTGTTTTTTTCTCATGACCTATGACAGCCCTGGCTAGAGCAGAAACCCTCTGCAGATGTGGTCTGGTAGCTTCTTCTGCTGGTGTTCCCATATTCCTAAAGGAAAACGTGGGGTTCTCTCAAGTTATTTCTAACGTATGGTCGATTGGTTTCCTTATGCTTCTTTGTAATATACATCCAGGAAGGCTCACGGATGCTCAGCTCCTGGGGAGTTCCTGACCATTCTTCCAAATTCATCTTCTGTTTTAATTTTGTCTCTGTTGGTGAGATTCAGTGGGACCCAACCCTCAGGAGCATTTTGTGCTATTGAGTTGTCCCGTTTCAAATCAAAGTTTTGAATGAAATGAAGTATCTTTCAAAATGCATCTGTAGCAGTCATATTTTACTGAAGGGCATTATGCACATATTAAATGAACGCTAATGCACTTTTAATAATATTAACACAAAGCGTTACAGGGAACAGTCACCTCTCCCTCTCCCTGCCAAGAGATTGTTAGGTCTATTTTCAGATTTTTTTTGTGTCCCCCAATTTTTGTTTTGAATGAATTAAACAAGCTTGTCAGTTCACCAAGGGGTTTTGTCCCAGTGATGGCATCTGACCCTAGGTAAGTCGGTGAAGAACACCTGGGTTTTCCTAGAGAGTTAATGCAGTGCGTCATCTAAACAAAATATTAACTTGGTTGGTACCCTGTGTGAGCTGGCATGGTTGCTATGTAACGGAGTCTAGAAAGTGAACTGCTGAAAATCTGGGCTTTCGACACTTTGCAGGATCTTCTTTTGGAATCTGTGTTGAAAGTACATTTGGCCGCCAGCCCATCTTCTCTCTCCCTGCTCCGAGTAAGTTGGATAATCCCTAATGAGGATTCTGGCATACAGTGCTGAGGGCATCCGTGCAGGGGGGTGCGTTTCACAGCTCTGGAGCTGCCTTGTGGGCTGGGTGGGGGTGGGGGTCAAAACTGCCTTTGACAGGTGGACAGGAGGAGCCTTGGAAAGAACAGAGCCAAGCATTTGTTCCAATTTGTCTTGTTGGTAGCCAGAGAACGGATTTGTTTAAAGTAACATTTCTAAGCTGTTTTCCTCGGCGTAACATCTCTGGAAAATGTGTTTAAAATGCTTGCTGTTCTTTGAGGAGAAAATATAGCAGTTTGTTTCTCTGGAAATGTCTTCTCTGATGAATGACTAATATTAGATTCAATTGCTTGCTTTGCTATGCATAGAACAAAACAATTAAACTCCGTTGTACCCGATTCAAATAGGTGTTAACCGTCTACACCGTAAAATAACTTGTGCCTAGTAGGATACATGCCTACTGCGATTAGGGTTTTTTGTTGTTGTTGTTGTTGTTTTAGGGAAATAATTGTATTTATGTGCCTATGCAAGTGGAAGCGCTTGAGAGCATCTTCTTTGAGTGTTGAGGACACACAGCCTACTGTGTGGGACTTGTTAGGGTGGGAATGGAGAAAAGGGTCACTTTCCTACGCCTTGGTAAATTTCCATAAATAGAGGCAGGTTTTATTTTTTTCTCCCTAGGTGCTAAAATAGGCTGTCACTTCAGGTCTGCCTGTTCTTATCTAGCATCACTACAACGCTGGAAATTCTTCGGTGAAGTGTGAATTACCTCTGGACTGAATTGAATGTGTGAGCAGTCTACGGAGAGGCTACACACTGTTGCTTTGCAAAATCAGTTCTGTCTTTTGGCCTCCCCTTCCCAATTCATTCTCCCTCGGCTCTGGTTTTCCCAAGTAGACGTTTATCTTTTCTTGAGAAAAAAAAAAAAAATTACAAATGGAAGAGCGGATGGAACAGAACGGGGTGGAATTTCTAGGGCCTTCTGTTGGCTTGCCCCCAAGTTACAGAGCTCAATTCACGGGTCACACGCATGTCGGTTTTCCGGCTGTCTCAACGGGCCGAAAGAGACAGCTGTCTTTTCCTCATCTGGTAGGCTATCATGAGATGGGACTTCCAAGTTCTTCCCGAAAATCACCACGCATGGTCACAAAGAGATTACTTACAGATCAGTACATCGTGGTTGAAATTACTTATTGATTGGCTATTATTTACTGTCTTCCCATTGTCTTTGGAAAATGCCTTTGGAGGACCCCTTTAGTCGAGTTTCTGGCTCTGGTTAATTTCATGCTTCCAATATTTCATGATTTACTGAAGCTTTTCAAAACTTTGATATTAACCACAAGTCTAAGCCAATCTGGTTTTTATAGTAGGAGCTATGTTGCATATCCTCCCAGGATAAGGTAAGGCATTGCTCTCCCCATCCCTTCACTCTCCTACGCCCCAAGACTGCTGGCACCTTGTAGGAATCCTGGAGGCCGAAATTTGTGACTTCCTGGCTGCCCACGAACTCGTAGCAGATGGGCCTGGCAGGTGGGGAGTGCTGGTTGGAAAGGTACCTGCTCACTGTGCAAATCACAGGGGGCCCGGGAGGTCAAGCTTGGGGTCCTGGCCATATTCATTGCATATTTTGTGTATATTTATTTCTGAGTTACACAGTTAAGGAAAGTGAAATCAACATGAACTCCTCAGTTGTTTTCAGACCCTTTCCCGGATCGGTTTGTGCGAACATTAGCGCTTGGCTTTGTACCCCCTGCCA